CATTTTGGTCCACAAACTAAAATTTTCATTTGAACCGTCCTTCCACTTTTTTTTTTTGGTATCAAGATGGTCCTATCATTAAAGTCCGTCAATTTTATTGTTATTTATTTTTGTATTTATCTTATTTTAAAATTTTTAATTAATTTAAAAAATAGAGAAAAAAATATTACTTTTTAAGTCCATGTGATAAAAAAAAAAAAAAAAACCATGTTTGTGGTGAGATTAAATTTTTTCAATTTTAAAATTAGGTACAAGTTCCTATAATAGTTTCCTTTAATTTCTAATTATTGTTCACTCTTTTAAAAAATTTGTTATTTTTTTTTTATATTTATGTGATTTTAATTAATTGAAACAATAGAGAATTTTTTTATATTATTAATTGTTAGGTCAGTCTCACGAAAAAAAAAAAGCCCTGTGGCTAAGGGGGTTTAATTTTTTAAAATTTTTTTAAGTTTTTTATTGTTTTCTGTTTCCTTTAATTTTTAATTATATATTACTATTTTAATTCATAGAGACATTTTTACTCCTCAATTTAACAATAAAATTGACAAACTTTAACAGTAGGACCATCTTGATACAAAAAAAAGAAGAAGAAAGAGTTGAAGGACGGTTCAAATGAAAATTTTAGTTGGTGGGCCAAAATGATACTGGAGCAATAGTTAGGGGACCATTGGGATCAATAACCCTTTTAGAGGAGGATACTCACCTAAAAATACGGTTTTGTTCCTCGATTTCACAGAATAATACACAGACTTTGACGGATGGACCATCTTGGTACAAAATAAAAAGTTTAAGGACGTTTGAATTGAAAATTTTAGTTGGTGGACCAAAATGATAATGGAGCAATAGTTGGAGGACCATTTAGGTCATTAACCCTAGACCTTTCATATTCGTAACGTAACTGGCAGTTATCGGTGCCAGTTATTTGAAATTTACCATATGTTAAATAATTTAATTTATATGTTAATTTTTTTATATACAATATCATGAAATAATGTGTAAAAAGAAATTCATATCCAAAACCTTAACTTTATTAAGTTTGCAATCCACATGTGGAAACTTTTTTGCCCATTTGCATATGGAGAACTTAAATATCAGCTCGAGATCGTCCAACAAGGAAAGGCTATAAATATTTGAACACAAGAGAAAAAGTTACCACAAATATGTATTTCAATTGGAACACAGGAGAAAAAGTTACCACAAATATGTATTTCAGTACCATGTAATAATTTTTTCATACTCGCAAAGAATCCTATATATATAGGAACTTTATTAATTTTTTTTTTCCTTTTAAAACCTCTCTCATGCTTACTTTAAAATCATGTGATTACAATCTATTAAAATCCTAATTGAATACACCCCCCTAAGAAAACTTGAATAGAATAACAAGCTTAACTCAAACAACAGACATAATAGAGCACACTGTTTGTATAATGGTGAGTATGAGGAGGATAACAAGCTGCAATGACTGAGATAGCTGCCCAGGGGTCTTGAAATAATTTTACCTCAAATTTTTCATCATTTTGTGCCACGTCGAACTACAGTATATATTTGTTCAGTCCTTCACCAGGATCAGGAAACGTGAAGTTTTCAGATGCATAAACCCCAATAAAATTTCAAATTTAATTGAATTCAACTCAATAAATGTCACCTTCCTATCCATCTACCCTTATCTTTTTTAGTTGAATTCAATTAATGTCACCTGAGTCGGACTTGGGTTGTCTTGCATAAGACAAAGACTCAATTATTTTAGTTTTTTTTTTCTGGTCTAAGACCTTCAATTCCTAATTCTTTAGATTTTTATATTTTTTTAAAAGGATTTTTCTTATTGTGAGAGGCGATAACATACTAAACTTACACACATTAAATGAATGTTAGGACTCGAACCCAAAATCTTTTCTAATTCTATAAATTGTAGATGTTCCACATCCCAAAGAGAGAAACCCACAAGTTTGCAAGCAAGTTTGATGTCCATATTAACACCAAGTATAAGCAGTGGGCTAGAGTTTGGGATGGCCCTTGAGCTTGTGGCACTTTCAATATTAACGGTGGAGGCAGTGGATATAACTTTCTAACAAAATCAACAAAATGCTTAAAAAAATATCTATGAAACCTCACAGAATCTATTCCAAATCAAATAATAAATGGTGAAGATCAAACCAACCCTTAATTGCACTTATATGTACGAGTTTTTATTAAAAATAGTCAAAATTTATCACATACTTTCATAAATGTTAATTTTTGTAAAAACTTTCAAATATAGGGAAAAAAACTCACTTGAATAGACCTCAATACCCTCAAAATTAAAACCAATTACACTAAACATACAAACACCTTATTACTTTGCAATAATTACATCCACCATCCCGGATGCCATTAAAATTCTTGTGGTTCCCTCCAAATTCATACAAAACTTTGTTGGTCCTCGATCCATGCCACTTCTTAGAAAATTCTAAAGCAGTTTTGGTTATAACATGAAAAATATTATGTGGAAAATGGTTGTAGCTAGATTTAGCTATATTATTATTATTATTGTAGCTTATAATAAAGCAAATTCTCAAACAATAATAAAAGATACTAGAATCCTAGATAGTAGTAGATGTTATCCTCCTTTCCAGATTTCTCATGCCTCCAGTCAAAACACACACACAAAGACAAACTAAAGTTCCATTGAAAGTAAAAACACAGTTACACACAATTCTCATACCCAATTTCGAATTACGTCCCATGAAAGATAAGAAACTAAAATCTTCAAGAAAATATTGGAAATGTGCTACAAACATAGCAGTGAAGATGGAAGCATTATCTCAGACGAATGATTATGAAGTGGAAAAAAACAAAAACAAAAACGAAAAAGGAATTGAGTTAAATTTGCACCTGCTGTGTTTCAAAGGACCAAGTTGGTTTTCCCTTTGGTCTCACAAGAGAAGCTCAATGCAGCTTACTTCGCTCCTCTGGCAGATGAAAATATAATTTTCTCCTAATAATGATGCCAAGCAAGTTCCATATCCCAAAGAGAGAAAACCACAAGTTTACCGATTTTTCAAGCAAGTTTGATGCCATTTCCCCTGTTTCCAAGGTATGTATGTACATGAGAAAGTTTGTCCAGTGACCTATATTCATCTCACTTTCTCAACCCTATATTTGTCTAACTTTCTAGATCCATGTACTGAGATTTATTAGGGAAATATTGTACAAACTGATTATTTTTAAAAATTAAATGTGAGAAACTGAACAAAACTTTGATGGGTTACATATTTCAACTCATTTCAGCAGCTTAGATTTTGAAGACCTCGGAAGAGGCTATGCAATGAGCCTAGCTAGTGCACTGTTGATCACTTCAGTGTTTACCGATCTGTAATTTTTCCAGATTGGTTATATTTTCCTTTACATATTCTTAGATTATTCCCAGCTGTAAGTGTTTTACACAGTTGCATTTAGAAAATAATAATAATAATGATAATAATAGTACAGCTCTTATTAGCAACAGGGTTACAAACTTCTTCTACAACACCAACACTGAATCTCACTATGTTAAAACTGTGAGAATGTGAAGGTAAAAAGTCCCACATTGGAAAGTTAGAAAACCTTGCAAGGGCTTATAATGAGTTAGGCTACTTCCCCCATTGCCAATTGGTTTTGGGGTGGAACCTCAACTTCCTTCATGGTATCAGAGCGGGTTACCCACGTGTGAAAGCCCAACGGCCACACGTGCTCCACGTCACCTAAAATGTGTTATCCACGTGTTAGGCTTGAAAATTCGCCACACGTGCGGGGGCGTGTGAGAATGTGAAGGTAAAAAGTCCCACATTGGAAAGTTAGAAAACCTTGCAAGGGCTTATAATGAGTTAGGCTACTTCCCCCATTGCCAATTGGTTTTGGGGTGGAACCTCAACTTCCTTCAAAAACAAGCACACCTTTATTGAAAACAAAGCTAGCCCTGATCCACTCTTTCACATAGTTGAAAACAAAACAAAACACACCCAAAAAAACAGATAGGGAGAAAATGGCTACGGAGAGACTTACTGCTAATACTTAACCAACAACAGAGATAACAGAGCACACTGTTTGTATGACAGTGAGCATGAGAAGAATAACAGCAGCCAAGAGAGAAATAGCTGCCCAGGGTGTGTTGAAATACCTTTGTCTCAAATTTGCCTTCCATCTGTTCGTGGGCTTCTTGTAGTAGTTGTTAGACTATCAGCAAGAGTATCAAAATAGTAGTTTCCGTGGTTTGTAGCAACCTTACTGCAAAGGTTGTTAATCATAACAGAAACCTTATTGTTTTCGCCTAGCGTGTTTACAACAATTTCATTCTCAACAAGCAACTCTTGTTGAAATATAAATTATTCTCTGGTTTAAATCCTTTTGCAGCACAGGTGTAAGGCTTAGATGCCATCACATTTTATAGGACTCATAGGTTCTAGTTTTATGCCAAGTGTACAGCTCATATTGCTGACACACATTGTATGGTTGAGATCATATTCTCTACCTTGTAAAAGGAATGTTTTCCGTTAGAATGAAGTAAGTGTGAGAGTGTGTGCATTCCAATGACGAGTGCTCAGTGAACAAACTCTCTCTCTCTCAACGTCTCTCGTTTTTCTCTGCTGCATTTCTTCATATACTTCCTCTACAAGAAAACCTCTACTCTGTCAAAACTTCAACAACTCTACATCCTTTGGGGTGTTTACAAATTTATCCAGGATGAAAACATAATTACTTATGTATTTATCCCAGTGTTTTCATAGGCGAGGCGTTTTTAGTAGCGCTATGCGAGGCGTAAGCCTTGAGGCATTGAGGCGTAAGCCTTTTGAACATTAAGTTATTTTAATAAGAAAAATTTATGAATAATACAATACGATTAAATTGTACAACTAATTCTTATTCAACTATAACAATCTTTTAAATATAATCAAATATAAGTACTAATTGTCATTCAAAACATAATAATCAATCCCAAAACATAAAATATTTATTCAACATCAAAACAAAAACATAATTCACTCATCCCACTCCTCAACACTAATATCATTCAAACTAGCATCACTGTCATATTGATCAACTGTATCAATATGAAAAGGATATTTCCCACTATCAAATGTTGAAGGATCTTTATCTATCTCATCATCTTCATCCATAAGCATAGCTCTT